AAGCAATGTAAGATTTGGCCAGCTGCACATATGACAACATATAACTGTGATTTTCACTTAAACAAATGTTTAACAGCCTTATATAGGCATTTAACAGGTACATCACCAACCTTCTCAAAGCACAACTATCTATTTCACCTTCTGTCCAGTTTGTGGAAGATACAGTTAAGAGAAAGTACTGCCAGATTTCTGCAGAATTGGTCTGCTTTAATGGAAAAGTTTACTTATGTACTACACACCAGCTGCTTTGGATAGTCCAGTAAGATAAAACTTCCAAAAGAAAAATAATCTTCTATCATGAGGTATTTTAACCCCAGAGTGGAAACCTGAAGGTACCAGTAGGATAAAACTCTTGACAGAAGAAACTACAAAAGCTTCAGGGTTTCTCTGGAAAATAGAAATGGAGCAGTTTAGAAACACAGTAGGCAAAATAAAAGGTTTTGTACTCCAACTGAGAGTTTATTTCTTAAACACTCAATAATTTTGCCTTCCTCCTGATTTCAAAACCAGACATTCTGCAGAAGGGATAAAACCTGTAGCACATCTATTTCATTTGAGCCCATTAGGGCTTATTACTTTTCCCCCTGTGAATGACCTTCCATACACCACCCCAAGGCTGACCGATAGAAGATCCAGAGGAATAAGGTGCTATAAAATAACTAATCAGGCAAATAGAACAGAACTTCAGTTTCTAAATAAATGGAAACTCTGATGGCAAAAGAAGTCACTTCCAACTTCATTTGAGGGAAAAAAAAATAATTCTGGTTCCATGAGGTTTTCTGCATTTTCTGTTTTTGATTTTGATATTCCTCATGATGCCCGATTCCTGCTTCCTATAAATCAGCAGTCATAACTATTATTTCAGCATTGTGCCCCTATGTATATATGGCCACCAATGCGGCCACAAAGCTCTAGCTGCAGTAGCTTGAAGGACCAAGGCTTAAAAACCATGAAGCTACCTGTTGTGTAACAAGCACAAGATCAATATTTGTGTACAGAACCTGAACAAAATCAACTTTCAGCATTTGGCGAGACTTGAAACACCATTTGCCAAAAGGGGCATCTAGATGATTAGTTTCTGGAGAACACAACCTATATATAGGTAATAATTCATAAACCTTATGGTTTCAGAAGTAATATGTGACAGCTCTGATCCTTCAAGCACTCGTTATTAAAGCTACTCAGATACGCAAGTGTTTACTGACTTCGTGTGTTGAAATGTGAACTAACATGAACTGATACATAGCTTTTAAACACCCAGTCCCTTTCTGCACTACATACAGGTTTCCTGAGCAGCAGAGGAGAAAAAGGGAACAGATTTAGACAAGATTAGAGCAGATACTTGCAAATTTATGCACAGAAAACTTATTTTAATTCCGATATAGCTTTGGAAAACTTTCTGGCAGCATTTAGGTACTGTGGTCAGTAAAGAGATACAATAGCTGACACCCATCACCCATGCCAAAGTACTTTAGAGACGGGTGGTGCTAAGGAAGAGAAAGCAACTGTTTCTCCCTTCAGCTAGCAGAAGGTAGAACAATATTTCATATATCATATACCTCCTAGAAACACATGGCACTTAAAGAAGCCCTGTAAAAAGACCATGTTAGAAGTCTCCAAAATATCCTCTTCCTTAGCAAGTGTGGCATTTTGTAACTCTGGCTTTGTTTTCTTCATCCAACATAATGTGCCCACAGTGACGTGCAAGCTGGGACGCATCTAGTTCTCCTTCAGTTCTGATAGGGAAGCGTAAGAAACTGTGGGAAGCAATGAAGTTTGGATTGTCCCATGGAGTAAAAATATATACAGCATATTTTAAAGGAATTATGACATTTCATCTTCAAATGCTGTATTACAAATTATTTCATCTAACAATTAATTATTACACCTCTCGGCTCAGACAAGAGTCTTGTCCAGTTGCTGGTATCAAACATGTACCAATAATGCAAATCCCTCCATCTCACCTCAACTCTTGCCAGGCCTTCCCACTTACAGATAAAAGTTTCCTTTCTCCTCAGTAAAGATGAAATCGCTCTCTTAAGCAAGCAGAGGCTTCCCAAGACCTCCCTTTCTGGCTTTTCTTTAAAAGGCTGTCACAGGAGAAGGATTAGGTACCAGTTATTAACCTGTTCCCAACCCATGTGGAAGTTTGCATATTTCATAATGCCTGTCCTTTTTCTCTAAAAATGAGAAATTTCACAATAGAAAGAACCACTAAGTAGAAATCTGTAAAATCCCCTTTGTGAGTAGAGCTACCAGTCCTTCTAAACAGGGACTGGGGAAAATGAGGAAAGAAATAAAATAAAACTCCCTTTCAGGACAGCTTTCTCCTGAAAGCCACTAAGATCTGGATCTAGCAAAAGGCTCTGTCAGGGCGGAAGAATCAAACCTCACGTAATTAATTACAGGGAAGGAGTCCCTGTCTCTTACTTTATTGGTTTAGATGAAATGAAAAATTAAACACTAGTCATGTCCCGGTAAAGCCATTAGCTTGCACAGCTCTACCCCGCTTTTTTGATAGAAAAGGGACAGAAAGGAAACCATCTTAAAACCAAATCCTCTTCTACATATGAAGAAACTCTAGCTAGCTACCAGACCCATACATCTCTACAGACTTTTTGTTCCCCCATAAAACAAACATCTAGTTGTTTTCCACTGGCTAGCTCCCCTTTCCATATTTGAAAAGGTCTTACAGGCTGTTAGGGGCCTTGTGCTCTGCGATGAATGGATTTGATTCCTTTTATATCAAATATAAAAGTTTCCTTTTATTTCCATCTCATGAAACACTTGTACAACAGTACAAGAACCTTAACCAAAACCTTTCTTCTATCCTCTTTAAAAGGCAGCAGGTTATTTTCTTGTAGTGTTATTTGGATGACAGGGAAGGAAAGAGACAGAAGACTACCTCCAAACATTATCTCAGAAGACATTAAATCAGGCACTTGAAATTTTAGTGAAAAAAACAATTCAAGCTCAAACTGAAACTACGACATATTCAAAGTGAACACAGTACTTCCAGAAACTATACAGCAGAAAAGAGAAATTCTATCTTCTACTGCAAGAGCCAGCAAAATTACAAGCTGCTTAGCCGACGATCAGCTCTCATACTAAACTGCTTACGTGAGGGCTTGTGAGTCCGAGGCCTTAAGCAACCAAAAGCTAGCTGCCTTTGATCACTAGGTCCTCCAGGAGCCCATGCGGACACTGACACGTTCTACAAGCACAGAGGACGACACTGAAGCTTTTCACTCCTGCAAACTAAGTATCAGTCAGGCAGTAGCACTCAGACCTTTGAGTCGTGACCAGTTTGAAATAGTACCTTAGGGCTAAAGGCTGGCACGGTCTCACTGCTGCGTTGTTCAGTTTCCAAACTGTGACTTCAGATTAGAACTGCAGGCAGACAGATGGACACTCGACTGTTGTGCTGCACACAACACTGTATTATTAATAGATGACACTATGTTATTAATAATATTCAAGTGCCAGGCCTGTAATTCTCCCTCATTTCGTAGTAATCTTCAGCAATCAAATAACTAAGCTTGCCCATCTGGACCCAGTGCCTGACATGACATCTCCACAGCGGTCAGTGCCAGGCGCTGGCAGCACGAGCAGGGAAGGCTCCGTTAGCGCGGAAACGTTCAGGGCTGGGTGGTAATGCATCAGGAACCAGGGCTGGGTGGTAATGCATCAGGAACCAGGGCTGGGTGGTAATGCATCAGGAACAGAAAGGAGGCGGCGGGAGCACAGCTCACAGGAAAATGGGATGGCCAGAGGGGGGGAGCGAATTACTGGAATAAAAGACAAGAAAAATGGGACGGAAGAAAACCTGCTTTTTTTAAAAAACGAATCTGGCGTGCGAGACGGCTCTACATCAGGAACGAAATCGCTCATTTACATCAAGAATAAGATCTGTACTCTCATTTTTGTAACGCCTTAACACTGTGCTCTGTTCCTCTTGCAGCAATTACTGTCTAAGGCCAAAGGCAGACCTCTCCAGAGCTGATCTCTCTAAGACACCCACCAGTGCCACCTCCGTGCCGGACCGCGCCGTGCCGGCAGCTGCCGGGCACCGCACAGGACCGGGGGGCTCCAGCCGGCCCCCCGGC